CGTACCGTGTCGAATCGTACGGTGTGCTATTCTTGCGGTGTCCAATCGTACTGTGGTCAATCGTACCGTGTCTAATCGTACGTGTCCAATATTACGTGTGCAATCGTACTGTGTCCAATTGTACCGTGGTCAAATGGACGTCACCCCCTACAACTCTCCATTGTAGACGACCCTTTATGCGTCGTCTACAATGAGAATTTAAGCCGTAAGACTTAAGCTTTAAGAAGGTACAAGGCTCGTTTCCACTATCTACGATTAAAGAGCCGTCTACAATGAGAATTGTAGGCCGTAATAGTAAGAAATTGACCAATCACAGGCAAAGTACAGAAGAATAATCGATTGTGATTTGTACTTTGCCTGTGATTGGTCAATTTCTTACTGTTACGGCCTACAACTCTCCATTGTAGACGACCCTTTAGGTGTGAACTAATGCTTCGGTGGAAAATAGACCAGTGATATCAAAGTAGGTTAGGTTAAGTAGAAGATTCTTTTGCAGATTAATTTACTTGAAATACGAAGTTACAACAGAGCAAGATGGTTTTATTAACAAATATACAAAATGTATGTTGAAAGTACTTTCGTAAATTCTATTGAATTTTATTGTCAATAAGACTTTCTAAAGTTTTCTAACCTCATATCTTTTTTTTACACACTGACATTTGTATACATACAGAACATTATTTTACTACATTATTGAGTAGTAAATCGATTTGTAATGAAAAACACGTGTAAAAACATTAATTTTACTATTGGATTGATAGACATTACCGATCATCCAAGGAACTATTGCACAAAGATATTTCTATGTGAGTGCAGTTGTTAACAAAGCACGATCTGGACGTTATAAACCTACGCTTAAACAAGACAAACCGTTAACATATGAAATGGCAAATCCACCTAACTATATTGCTCACAGAAAATCTTGGAATTCATGGAATACATGTATATGATTTATGAAAACTACTTGTACTATTTATTGTACATTTTTATTAAACATGTTTTTCCTTTTAGCTAACATAAAAGATGGCAACAGACCATCCGAGACAGCTATAGAAGATATGTTTATTCGTCAATTTATGAAAGGGACATGGCACAATCTATTTGCTAGTGAAATCATTATTAAAAGGCAGCATAATATTATTAGAATTGCTGGAATAATAACTCGTAATTTAGCACCTTATAAGATATATTTCTTAACTGGTTATACAGAAGAACTTCTTAGTTATTGGTTGCAATGTCCTATTAAGGTGGAATTGGTCACAACTGACAGTAAAAAAGATATGATATTTAAATATATATAAATAAACTTTCTTAATGTATATATATTATTGTTATTGTTTTTACCTAAAATATTCTAGTGTTTATAATATTCAAATAAAATTACTACTCAGTTAAAGTAAGTCACAGTTTATATTGTAGTTTTTTTAAGGAATATAAACAGTAAATAATTTTTATTTTTAATGATTTGCATGTCATCCATTTATTTTTCATTACTTATAATAAGTTGTTACATTCGATCATGACTCAAATGTAGCCCATATACAATCATTGCATCAATAAAAAAAGAAACTCATACATTACTACAAAAATTGCTTGAATAAAAACTAAAAAGGACGTACTCAAGAGTAGATTGACAATATTGAAAACTTGATACATATGATATAATGGTTTTATATTCTTTACTAGACCACACTCTCCTTCGTTATGTCTACAACATTTATGTACCTTGTCCAGTGTTCAATCAGAATCGTGTGTAGTTCTCTCCCGCTACATTTGTACTTTTCCCACTTTTTAATGAGTATTGTTGCAGTTATTATTATATGTGTAGATGTTTCTCATAAAGGAAGAGTGCTATTAGTTGATACATTTATATATTCATTATACTTAGTCATTCATCTACAGTCTGCGCACATAATATTTAGTTTTCATGCTCACGACGATTGGACAATTTTCTTTGATTTTCAAATCACAATTGGTTAATTCTGGTGCTTGTGCATGCAATTTTGCGTGAAAAAAAAACATTATATGCTGCAGACTTTACGTTAAAAGAAACTTAATCGAATATTATTCTATAAAGATCATGTAGTTTGCCTACATTGATGATAATATCGATGTAATCACAGAACTGAGTTATATTAAATGCATTAAGATGAAAAATTCGTTCGATGTACATTATATAATTATATTCCTGAAATATATATATATCAGTAAAACAAAGACAGTGTAAATATAATAATATATATAGGCTTTTTAAAGTTATGTGTACTGATTTTTATATAATTGCAGTTATACATTTTTTTTCTTATTCACTTTCTCCGCTAATATTCCGGTTTGTATTTTTTCGAGTATTAGAAAGAAACAGAATTAATTTTGACATTATTTGCACATTGCCATGTAAATATAGATTATTCAAATTAATTGATTATTTTATATAATTATATAGCGCGCGTGTGTGTGATTCCCAAATAGCCAAATGATAGCAGTATGCCAGCAGTATGCACACAGGTTTAATCAGCACTTCGCAGCAGATTCTACTCAGCTGTGTCTTCATATGAGTGAATTGTGTAGACACGATATGCAAAGAAAGTAACATAGCGAAAATATAGAAATAAAGGGGACAAGAACACGTTATGCATCAAATTTATTACATTTATTTCAGCAAGTTCTGCTTGATTGATGCAATAATATCACGGCATACATTTATATTATCTTTTTTTCCTGCTTTTCTGTCGACACTAATTGAAATAACAGATTATGATTAAATGCTGGCTGCAGTCTACTGGCATAATGTGTTATTGCAAACTTTGCAAAACATGCTTAATCAGTCTTGATTATCTGGGATGTATAGGTAAACATATTTCAATTATTTACAAAAATATAACTTAAATTTATACAATACAAATTTGATTCCAAACAAATAAATTATTTTTACATGTACATACATAATACGATTATTATGTACAATATAAATAACAATATATTATACATATAAAAACCGGATTTTGTGCGCCATATATAAAAATAATGATTTATTTTCTTATATTTTTTGTGCAAAAATTAAGTAAAGAAATCTTTTAAAATGATAAATTTCTGTATGGATGATAGTTTTTCGAAAGAAGGAGAGCTAACACGAAACCTAATTAAACTTATGAATGTTCAAGCGAAGAGATGTAATTGATTTTATATGATGGACGCAATAGTTGTGTTCCAATATCTAAGATATTTTTTGATATCTCTTATTATAAAAGTACAGATTGAAATGTGCTGTGCTCGTCTTATTTTTTAAATATATCTTAATACAATGTAGTACTCTTAACTATGGAAGTCAAAGTGTGACGCTATGTACATATCGCAATACTACATAGAATAATATCTTTCAAACTTGATGTAGTTTTCAAGTTAAATACGTAGCAATCTTGCATATGTATTTCATTGGTAAATGTTTACAAAAACGGACCCATTCCCGATGACTTTGACCTTGACATATGTTGTCAAGGACATGTCCCTGAGTAACAATCGAAAGGTTTTAGCCGTCGCTAGCTCTTCATTTAAAAGTTATGATTATAAAAAGTTGTATCGAGTTTACGTATACTGTTTACGTATATTGTTTATATATACACTTAATATAATAATACACTTAAACATGCATATTTTTATACATAGAGGATTTACAAAGAAAATATTACAAGTATGTTCAATTATTTATATATTGAACTTCAGGAAGACCTTTAATGAACTAAACAAGAACACGTGAGAATTCGCAGATATAAGAAGAACTAAATAATGAAAGTGGTAAATAATGTAAACATTGAGAAGAAACATTCACACGTACTATGTTTATGTTGGGTGTTTACGATAACTCAAGTTCGAGTTAGTTTTACTAGGACCGAAAATTTTGTAGACATGACCATCTGTAATCCGCATGATTCATGACAACTTAACTCAGCGCTGTCTTGTATCGCTTGAGTTGAGTTAACTGTGGTTAGCTGGTA